ATTTTTCAACAGCATAAATGTGTATCATTATCAATCGTTATTATCGTTTTAATCAAATTCGAATTTCAAATGCTTTAAATAAATATAAATATTAAAATAGGCAAATTATTAATATTTTCCAACAATTTATTAATTGTATCGATACTAAATTAAAATCATACTGTTGAAATTATTCTTTTTACATTCTTGGTTTCTCTTTCTACAATGAAAAAGATGAGCTTGATCTTTCTGCATACTAGTTACGCCGCTGGCAGATTGACAGGATATCGGTGTGTTTAGGATGCGAATGAATCGCCATAGTAACGTCGGAATACATTTCCACTCTGATTCGATGCACGGCGTCGCGTCGATGTCGCAACACGTCCGTGTACGAGCATCACCGCAGGACTGAACTGCAGCCAGCGTGGCGCATCGTTGCATTCGACCGCACGGATGCATCCGCGTGAGGACAATCGTAACGACACTACGCGTCTGCACTTAGCAGCGAATTCATCCGCTTTTCACGCGAAATACGGAAGTCGAAAGATGCGAGTCAGGAAAGTGAAAGCTTTCGCACGGTTCGACATTTATTGAAATTCGCACATCGCAATAATTCTTTAATGTAAAAAAAAATAAAGAATTATTTCTTTTATAAAAAATTATTGTTATTATTTGATAAGAATATTGCAAAATTTTTTAATATAAAAATATATAATTTTATTGCACGGATTTCTTTTATTTTGTGAAAAAAACGTAACGATAGCAATTAATCGAATTCTGCATAAGTTGATGATTGAAAATCAATGAGTCGTAAAGCACTCGACAGATGCTTGATAGTAAAATGAAATTTGATCGTTAAGTTTCGATGATGTAGTTATCTATTTTTATTGAGATTTTCAACAAACTATTGAAAGTGTAACGATAAATAATTAAATGACGATAAAACAACATTTAAGTTTAAGAGTAAAAATTGAAGACTACAGCCTGTTCAATATGATTTGCCATTTAATATACTTTAATGATGTGTGTAAGTATTTATTACATGCTCATAAAAATATACCTTGATATGAATGCTTATTCAGCAATAATGTCGGATCTTACGTATTGCTGCCATCTCATGCTACATGCTTACGTTTGCACAAATACAAACGTCTAACGTAACTAAAAGAGTGATTTAATTTTCTCTATTAAAAATGATTGTCCATATTTATGTTACTCATCGATTTTGCTACGTAAAAATTCAGTTATGCAACAACGTCAAATGTCTTATTGTCGCTATTGTCTAGCATTTTGTTCATTACAGTCGCGAAGCAATTTAATCTGAATGTTACAGAGATTTTACAGCACAGTGGAATATATACACCGTAGCGCAAAATGCGTCGCACTTTGAGCGAAGAAGTTTCATACAATGAACCCAACTTCTCTCGCGAAGTGTTCTAACTTTGTACCGATACATTTGTTTCGCATGCACGGTTTTGCCGTTGACAACGTTGTTCCCGTTAAATCCACGACTTTTGCGCGAAAAGTTGTGAACTTTAAAATTGAATTACACTGGGTCTTGGCGAAAAATCACGGTTGCCGTCGTCGCAAACGCGGACAAAAACAATCGATCAGCGAAATCGTGCTCGGCAAGTCGAACAGCCGTCTCGTAAAATCCGGTATCTTCTGCGGGCACTCTCGGGAAATCGCCCGTAATAAATCGACCAAAAGCGGAGAAAATTCGCCTTGCGTCGGCTGGAATAATGATGTAATCGATGTAACTTTCCCTCCCAAAACGGAAAATTTTCCATCTAATGGGAAAAAATTAGGACTGGGGTAAACGTAATAAAATTTTTAATAGCAATTTTCAATAGTAATCACTAGGAATGAAAGAAGAAAAGCGATAATTGAGACATGTCAATCAGACATGTACTTGTACAAATTTTTGTAAAAACTTCTAAATATACAGAACATCCTAAATGTAAGAAATTTTAACAAAGAGAAGAGATTTTAACTTAGAGAAGAGTTTGTTTCCTGTCGAGTCGCGTCTCACGCGATATCTTCCGTGTTTCAATCGTACTTTTTCGCGTGTCCTTCGCGTTTAAGATAGAAAGTTTGTTTTCAGTATCAAGATTCGCCTAGATGCGAAAGAGACAGGACGAGTCGGTGCGCGCGCACAGGATAACGTAGGATACGTAGCGATGGGATCAAGCATGATTCAAACGGTACTGATACTTTTTTCGTCGAGGTATCGATACGGAAGGTCAATCACGGCTTCAGAGGTCGCGACCTTTTCTTCCCCTGGAATTAACCCCTCGGAATTGCTTTATAAGCAAAGAGCTTACTGTGAGTTATTCTAACGTCAGCAAAGAGCATTGAAGCCTTGCTAGACATGTAATTTCACGACCATGTGCATTCGTTTAATTAAACGCTTGTAAAATTACGATCTTTCGTAGAATAATTCTCGAATAACAATATAATTAAATATGCAAACAAGTAAATTAGTTTAATCCGCACAATAATATTTTTAATATAATTAATATTTTAATATAATTAATATTTTTAATGCAATCTCATAAAACTTTTAACAGATTTCCATAAATTAAAATTAAATTCCATTAAATTAATGAGAATAAAATGTAATGCATGAAACTTGTTGTGTTTCGTACAGTAAATTCCACATTTAATCTTTTTAAAGAAATTACAATATTATAAGCATTTTTGGAATTAATATCGCTCTAATATGATGATAGTAGAAAAGTAAGTAACATAATTTTTTAAACAAATAACATTTGGTGATAAATTTGTGGAATGTTTCACACCGTGTAAGGAATTAACGTGAAATAATGAAATGTGATGCAAGCGTGATTGGATTATTAGATTGAACGACGATTATCCTAACATCCGTCGATAGCTCTCGACGAGAGAAAGAGAGAGAGAGAGAGAGAGAGAGAGGAGGAGAGAGAGAGAGAGAGAGCGAGAGAACCGCTTGTGAATCGATTGAAAATTACAGCTCGGGAATTGGATCGGGCCCATCGCTAACGTTACTCGCCGGTTGAGAGGGAAAGAGATGAGAAACACACGTTGGGGAGAAGCACAGCGAGCGAATAAGTGGGGACGACGGAATGAGGCGTGTGGTGGGATGGCAGCAGAGTACGCGCGGGGAAGAACGGTGTGAGGGAAGGGTGGGATGAGACAAAGATGGGTGGCGGGGAAGGGTGAGAAAGGGGTTGAGATGGAGAAAACGAAAGGGAGGACGGCGATAGAGAGAGATGACAGAAGCCGACCGGCAGAAAGGTTATAGTAGAAGGGAAACTACTATTGGAAGAACTCTCGGACGAGGGAGGGCGGGAGGAAGGGTGAAACGGAGAGAAGAGGGTGAACTGCGAGGGTTGGGGGGAAATACGGACGAACACACAGAGAGCTAAAAGATGAAAGTATAACCCGGGCAACAGTGGCTCCCAAGCCAAATAGAACATTATGTCACGTATAAATAAAGTCGTTTCCGAACTTCGGCCCGATAGATATTGCAACGCCAATAAATTATCTTCCGCTAGTCGCCGTATAAAATCGCTCTGGGCGTATACGAGGTAAATCACGCTTCGCTTGGCGCGTTGCACAATTACCGAAAGAGTGTGTCTTTCTTACGGCGCGCGGGTTTTCACCCGTGTGGAAAATTTATCGAATTATATAGAGTCAGTGGCTGTACAGAAGCCATGCTCGGAAATGTGAGAAAAATTATTTTGTTGCTTTTAAAGCTGCAAGATTCGACAAACTGTTTTTTATTTATATAATAATTGCTGTTGTTTTTACGAAAGATAAAAAACGATCGCTAAATGGATCGATAAATAATTAATTAGATGGTTGTTAGTAAGCATTAAAGATAGAGAAATGAGAGTATATGTACGATCATTTACATAATAGGCACATTACTTTGTGGCAGAAATAAACAAATAAATAAATGCACTAATAATCAATCAAACGTACTTGCGCAAATGTTACAAAGTCATTCGGATACGCACGATATCATGATGAGATTGCGTAAGCGTTTGAACTCTGTTCGCGAATCGATGATAATCGTTTATGCGTTTAATGCGGAAAGCGAAGACATACGGGGCAAGCGGTAAGTCAAACCCGGCGAAAATGACGTCGCTCTGCAAGCGCCGGCGAACAATTAAATTATCGTGGAGGTGGAGGAGATAACGATGCACTCGAGGTGCAGCATAAACCACAGGTTATGTCGCATGGATTATGTGCATATATAATATTTCGCGTACTTGGGGTGGGAGAAGAGAGAGAGAGAAAGAGAAAGACTATACACACTCATCCCGACACAGTTACGTCTCTTCGCGAAAGCTTGCGCGGAAGTTCCTGGCATTCTCATGTAGGGTCGCTACCTCTCAATCGAAAGTCGGCAAACACACGTTGTGTAGGTAAACGGAGGTCCTGTCGGGAAAATTCCTTCCGAGGTTTCCACCAAAATCGTGAACTTGTACGAATTACAACTTGCAAACTCGCGTTCCCTCGACATTGATTTATTTACGCGCTTATCGCGGAGAGCGATAAAAAGAAAATCTCAATTTTTTTTTTTCTTTAAGATATGTTATATAAATTATATTAATATATTATATATATATAAATAATATATATAGAGCAGTATTGCCATATATTTTTAGAATATTTATATAATATTAATTTTGTCAATTGTTGATATTTTGTTACATTCACTGTCAAAATAAAAATTTTATCATACCGTTGCAATAAACATGAGATAGCTTCGGGTTCTCTGCATGTCATATTTTTAATCATTATTAATATTACATTTTATCTGTAAAATAAAGCTCTACCTTGTTTTAATATAATCTGTATAGACGATCAGATTTTATCAGTAGACATTGATAATAAATTTAATTTTTATTAATACTGCTTTCGGTTCAATTTATCAGCGCAACAAATCATGAATGGAGATAAATATTTTCCAAACGATTCATTTTGTCTGTAATTCAATCTATATATTGATAAATATTTTTGTTTGTTCGTAGGACGAAGTGCTGACGATTTCGGAAAAGGTGGTCGTCCGTGTCCACGATTTGGTCACGTGGCTCTCGCCTACATTGGAGTGGTCATGGGGTCGAGAGGTATCCTATCCGACGACCCCGATGTCGTCCCCGGAGACTAGCCCGCTTAGATACGAAATGCCGCAGCCGCAAGTGCTGACTGATCCGGGAATCGATTTCTCGGACGTCGATAAACAGCAGAAGGAATATGAGAGCAACCTAAATTCTACTAAGAAGTCGGACTGCAACTTTCAAACGAAGGTGGTGGTGCTCTCGTATCCGAGGTATTGTCGGTACCGGGCACTCTTACGTAGGCTCGAAGGCGCCGAACCCTCCTGGCTTTGCTCATCTATCGCGGCCGCGTTAGGAGGTTTCACCGCGACGCCGGGCACCAGGGTGCTCTTCTGCAGAGACACATTCGACTACCCCGATCTCGAGACTCACGAGCTGTTATGCAATCATTTAGGTATGTATGTACGACTGTTTTTTATTTATTTTGAATCGAAACACGGTTTAATGGAAGATTCCGTAAGGATATTTACTTAAATTTGCTGCATCTTTATTTATACAGCAGATAATATGAATGTGTCCAATAAATACCATACCATCAACTGAAAGATAATTCTCATGAAAAGACGAGTAAAAAATATAGAATAAATTATCATTAATTGCGTAATTTTCTTACAAGAAAATTTATTTTGAATATGAAAATATTCTTATTCGACACTAATAGATATTGAAAACTTGTGTGTGCGTCTAACTTGTAAGATGTTTATAACGCGTGACCTAAGAAGGTATTTATACGACACTATCTATCCTATATATAAATATGTTATTATGTATAGTACGCTATCTATTTATACTAGGCAGTGAATCGTTATTAATTTTCACTTATCTTTTGAAATGGTAAAATGCAGCAATCGTGAAAACATTTGCATCAGCATAAGTTACAATTATTTACTACGTATAACTGTAAACTTTAATCGACATACAATATGGTAGTGAAATAGACACGTAATATTTTCATATACAAAATAATTTTTCTCGTGTGAAAACTGAGCAATCAATAAAAAATTTATTCAATATTATTTGTTTTCTTTTTATATTTTATCTCTTTGCCGATTGTTATGAGATTAACTAAATAATGTAATATAATTTTTATTTGGAAAGTTTTTGTGCGTGAATAAAGTGCTACATTTTTAAAAGATCGATGATTGATTCAATGTAAAAAAAGAAGATAAATAAATAAAAATATAGAACGCTGTTACGCAAGTCGTTAATTGCGTTATATGCAGAATAAAATCATAAAGCGAAGGATATTTCAAAACGTTTTGATCAAATATTTCAAACTTTTCCAACTCATTGCAAATTAATACAAAAAATTTAATATTCTCGTACATCGCAATAATGAATAAATAATTCAATAAAGTTATATTTGATTTTTCATAATATAATAGACGCTGTTAACATAAAACTTTTCCAATAATATATTTTAAGGTTTCGGTATAAATTCTGTGATAATAAATTTGATTTATAAATAATGAAAAAAAATGCAAAGAAATGTAAAACGATTGAAAAGCGAGGAATATTATTTTTAATTCATTTTCTTTCATATTTCTCAAAGCACAATAATTCAATGCATGTGTGTCAATGGTACACAAATGCCGCGGACTCACTAGATGGTAAACAAGCTTTTGAAGGGCCGTTCCGCTCGAAAGAAAAAACAAAAAAAAACTGTTTACGGTAAGCTGTTTTATTGGACTGGATGCCGTGAGAACAATCCCGAAAGATGTATTAAACGAGATAACGCCTGACTTGTTATGGCACAAACACTACCGACGGCTAGGTGTCATCGTACGAAACGCTGGGAAATCCGTCATCGTTCGCTTTCGTCGCTGTTTGCCAACGCATTGGTCGTACGTAATTCGGTGGGCGAGCGGCGCGACGCACGCATGATCCTGCGCTCGTGACTACACTCGCGTGCATTTGTTCGACGTGCGTTCTAATCGCCTGATCGAAAAATCGCGGGACACTGCCACGAGAGACGCATCGTAGGCAGCGTGTGTTTATTCGACGCTCAACTTCGCTCATTGCGATCGGATTGCGGTTTTCGTTGCGCGATTTACGTTTGTCGCGTTTGAAGTGCCTCTTCGGCATACTTCATCGAGACATGCTTTATTGTCATACGATATTGTTGATCGCGTTTCAACCAACATAATGTATTGTGTGCATGTTTGGGCAGTCGTGTAAATTGTATAGTCTGACGAAGATAACGCAAGCTTACATCGCGCGATCTAATTGATTCCTGTTGTTGACTATGCGCAATTGGCCGCGGAAAATATGCGAGAATAGACTGATTAGTAGTCACGAATCACAAGCTTACGCGAATTTGTCGGTGCCTACACGCTGCCGTATTCGACAGTGCAATTCGTGGCTCGATTTAAGGCTTTGATTTATTTTGGACTTTGTCGCGCTCTTCATGTTTTTTCGACGAAAATGATTGTTCTCGAAAGAAACTCTTATTATTGTTATTGAAGACGATTACAATTATTGTGTGCTTGTAACAATTGCGTAATTGCGAGTGTTCCTTGAGACCGTGTCCACGACGAATACTATGGCTATTGTGATGAAAATACGGAATAATGAAGTGGTTTATCTAAATATACTTGGTAAGACAACAAAATATACTTTGTAAGAAAAATTGCCTAATTCGGAATAATGAAGATCTTGCATTCTGAAATCGATTCTGTTGAACATGCATATTGTGTTACATTGCATACACGTGTTATCGCCACGATAAATGTGGTCGAATCATTCTAGCATTCAGCAAATTAAAATAATTATCTTAGTATTAGATAAAAGATACAGGTATTTTTTTTGTTTTTTTTTTCCACAAAAAGCCATAAATTATTATTTCCGATTGAATCTCGATAATTGCTGATATAAAATTTCAGTCTGCACTTATTGCCCGATTAAAAAAAAGAAAATAGATACTATTATGCAATATTTTGTGACAAATACATCGTATATAAACATATTATCGGATATTAATATAAATTGAAGCGAGGATTGTTTTTGTAAATATTGTTTATAGATAACTGAATATTTGTGCAATTCGTGGACAAAGGAAGAAATTTGTAACATATTTATCATGATGAACAATATTAAATGCTTAACAAAGTTGAAAATGGCTGACCGTGTTGTAAACCTGCTTACTACGAACTTTCAAGCTATTTCGACGCCCTGATCTGTTTATCAATAACATAGTTTCCCCATCTAGATAAATAAATACTTTCTCGACCTTGTATCACTACGATATGGTCAATCGATCACGTGGACTTACTACTGGACTAAATTTTCACATGAGATATATTTGTTTAATTCTAAATATTATGTGTCTATTAAATATAATTTTATATACATAATATATATATTCTAATTTAAAGATGTATTATTAAAACTGATTCTTCAAGCAAGCATTCGAATAATATGCAACATATGTGTGTGCAATTAAACATCATTTAAAATTATATTTAGATTTATTTAGCTGAATATGATATAAAAATATTTTTTGATAACCTAATCCAGTCTAATTTCCAACTCAATTGGATTTTTGCGAATTCAATATGCCAATATAAGAAGTAAATATTTGTGCCAACAGATTCTTTTGTACAACGATTGTATAAATGATAAAGTATTTAAGTATTTAAGTTGTATCGATAGAATTTCAAAATATTTGATGTTTTTCCATCTGTTATTTTTATCATTATTATTATGAGATAAATAATTTTGATATTCTCATGACATTATTGCATCAGTGACGTAAATAATATATTAGCATTCTTACAGTTATCGAAATGATCTTTGTGACAAATATTTACTCATCAATATGTGGATGCTCATTTGTTTTTGAATTCACGAACAAAAAGTGTTATATGTGAATAGAATACAGAAAGTAATATTATAAACTTGTAAAATTTGGATAAATCTTAATGATAATTAATACGTTTCTCTGTTATTTTCAGCACCAAAATTAAAAGGTAGACCGCGAAGAAAACGCAAAAAGCGCAGCACTTCGCCGGGTGAATCCTCGAACGAGAGCGAAGCTTCGGTAGCGTCGACGTCGAAGAGCACGCCGGCGACTACCAGCACCAGTCTGGTGATACCCACGGTCGGGAGGCCACCTTCGTCCGCAATACGGCGGAGCGAGAGGAAAACTAGCGTTGAGGAAAAGAAGTTTATCACGGACGTGCAGAGTTTTATGAACTCTCGGGGTACGCCGGTCGGAAAGATGCCACTGCTGGGCTACAGGCAGAGTCAGTATCATGTTCTTTTTCTTCGGTATCCGATGACCGGTCTTGCCACCGGAAGACCGGGCCGATTTTTCCGATTTTTCGATTTTTATTTCTCGCGATTCTCGGCGGCAACTCGGCTGCCGGACTGCAAAGAGCTAACACACAGCAGGGTTTCCTTCTCGTAAAATTATAATCGTCCCGTGTTTATCTGACAATACTTTAACGAGTTTGCTTTATATCCGCAGTCGACCTGTACCTGTTCTACACAAAAGTGCAAATGCTCGGTGGTTACGACTCTGTCAGTGCTGGTCGCCTTTGGAAGACCATTTACGACGATATCGGCGGCAACACGGGTTCCACTAGTGCAGCAACTATCACACGTAGACATTACGAAAAGTGAGTGCCGCTACAGATCTTTATTACGATTATTTCTACTCGATCGTTAACATTTCTCTGCGATATTTATCATATTTGTTTTTGTTTCTAATAACAATTCTCGATATCCGAACTGTGCTTATGCAACAATCAAATTCTGTGCAGATTGTTATTACCTTACGAGAGGTATCAGCGAGGCGAAGAGACAACAGTGAGACTGAATCACGGACGACGTATTAAGAATATAAGCACGTCCGAGGATTTGGAAATCAAGGAAGAACCTAGCGATCCGTATTCGTCGGAGACACCTCCGCCTGTAGAAGCAATTTCTGCGACCACGACACCACCCTTGCAGCCAATAATGTCAGCAGCAGCGACGGTAAATAATAATTCAATTAACAAGAAACTTTTCTGTGTAAATAAATTATTTCAAATTATTCATGTCGTATCTCTCGAATTTGCAGACTTTGCTTTCGAATGAGAAACCCAAGACAGAGACGGGCAAAATATCCTCGTTGCGTAGTGTACGAGTGAAGCCGGAACGCCTCAAGTCCCTGAATACAATGATCGCTAATAGCGCAACACCTTCCAGCCAAGCTAGCCAACTGCCAAGTCCACCGCCATCCTCCAACACGTCCACCTCGACACCCAACAGCACACCCTCCACAACGCCTACCAACGGTACGGGCAATAATCAGAGCGTCTTGGAGAGGCAACTCAACAGTCCTTTGATATCCCAACAAGTACCACCATCGTGTTCGCCACCGGGCTTGCCCGTGACCAGCGTAGCGACGAACGCGTCAACCGTCGTCACTCTAACTCCACCGCCGGAGAAAGATATGAAAGAGATTAAGCTAGATTCGAAGCAGACAACCATACTGGCTCAGGGCAAGGAGAACATACCATTGTTCGGCGGTGAGAAACCTTTTTTTACGGAAAAGACGATGGTACCGCCTGTCTCTAGGTCGCCCGAGGTGATTGATCTCGAGAATGAGAGCGATACGAGTCGGGACAAAATAATCATTCCCAGCTTTAAAAAACGCAAACTTGAGATATTGCGAGAAGGTGGGCTAGAGGTTACCGCTGTCGATCTAGACACGCGGCCGAGTGTTATTCAGAGCAGCGTCACCGCGTCATCGCAGCAACAGCAACAGCAGCAGCAGCAGCAGCAACCGCCACCAGCCACGATGAGGTCCGTCGAGGAGAAACAGCCGTCGATCTTGCCGTATCCCCATCCGGTCACGCCTAACTCTATTCCGAAACTAATATCCGTCACCGTGACACCGGACATAGGACACATGTTGCCATCGCCGCAAGAACATCAAACTCATCAGTCGCGAATTTCAGCGGTTAAGCAACCAGCTCATCATAATAACAACAACAACAGCACGATGAACAACAATAACGTGATGAATAGTCGGGTGATAAATCTCGGTAGTTCGAATAACGCCGCGCTGCTTCAACTGTATGCGAACGCGAATGTCGTACCGCCTACCGCGGCGACGATTCCGCAGCAATCGCACAATCGCTTCCTTCCGCCAAACGTTCCGAACGGCAGATTGCTACCGCCGAAAGTGACGCAGTCGAGGTCGATATTCGTGCACAACGAAAGGACCGTTTATGGAAATCCGAAAGAAATCCTCATCCCTCCAAAGTATCATCGTTCGTTGCATCCACATCAGCAGCAGCAACGCTCGCAGCATCCGCAGATGAGTGGCGGCAACGATAGCGGACAAGGAGGTGTACTCGATCTGACGCAGAAACCTAACGAGAAACCGACGTTCCCCAGGCCCAGCCTGGAAATAGTAAGAGTACCTGTAGTGCCGAGGCCTAATCTTTTGAATATGGAAATGCGGAATTCACCCGTGGCCAAGGACAAACCGTCGGATAGACCTGCAGTCGACTGCACGAAGCGAATACCTTTCCCCGCCTATCAGAACGTAATCGATAGTCGAACAATTGCTTCGAATAACCTCGAAATCACACTGGTGAATCCAAAGCAAAAGAATAATCACCACCTGAATACGGCACCGTCTCACGTTCAGATACCGAGTCCACCTAACAAGAGTAGTCTGATGGGAACGATAAATAACGCGCATAGGAGGCACCCGCAACCGCATCAAATGAACGGGAAGTATCCGACAAGAAACGAACCGGTCTCGCCATATACACCGAGGAAGTCGAATCATCCTGTCATACCCAACATACCTAATTTAAATCACCTGAATCATAGTGGAAGTCCGTCGTACCCTAGGATGCAGGCGACGACGATGCAGCAACAACAGCAGATGAGCATCGACAGGAGGAAAGCGGCCGCAGAAGCCGCCAGGGATCATCAACAACGTAGGATCAGCGAGGGTGAGAAATCCTTGGCGGCGCAGCATCAGCAGCAACAGCAACAGGATTGCAGAAGCGAAGTCGGCCGACGACACAGTTTACCAAGCATACCGTCCGGCTTCGTGCCGACAGTACCACAAAACAATTCCGCCGCTTTTCCGTTTGCGCAAATGCCAAACGTGCCCGGCAAGTTCCTACCGATGCTGGACCCTATGTACTACTCGTTTTACAACGGCTTACTCCCACCGCCGATTCCGCCCACGCCCACAGCCGCGGCCGCCGCTGCGACGTCGTTTTTGTCGCCAGAACTTAGCGCGTATTACAATGAACTATTCGCTTCCTCGCAACCAAGACTGACGGGGATGACGGGGCAGCCGCCGCCGCCGCATCAGCAGCCGGCTGCCCCAACGTCTAAGTAGACAATGGGATCTCAACATGTAGGGTTTCCGGTATAGCGAAGGATGCTTTGATTACTAGAGAGAGACAAGGATCCGTCGGACTTCGCTGATAATGATAAGAGTGAAAGAGAGCGCATTGAGATTACCTATGTTCAGTTATTTGGTTTTTATTCGATTAGTTGTAACGATGGCGACGAAATTATTCACAGTGTTCGTTCATGGTAGAACAAAAATAGTCCCATAGAATCTCGCACGAAGAAAATGGAATTTTGATAGGCTGGAACTTCAGAAGATAAGATATCTTCAAAATTATGTCTTGCGTTTTTCATAATTGCGGATATTTTCCGCAATAGATTACGTGGTTTATGAGTTGCAATAATACGTTAATCATATTTTTAATGTTTTATCCATTTACTTGAGATTCTATAGAGAGGATTATCTATATTTAAAAAACCCTGTGATAAAAATACGACAATGTATTACCATTCAAGCAGGCAGTTGATGGAATATTGCCACAGAAAATCGTTATTTTTATATGTTTATTTTATGTAAATCGTTTACGCGTGTTTTTGAGTTTCAATTGGTGTTGCGAGACAAAAGAATCTAATTTACACTTTAAGTTTACACTTTCAGTGTCATATTAGAATTTTCAAGCATTTTGTTAGATTCTAAAAATAATTAGTTTTTTCTTTTTTTTAACGCGTACAAACACAGATTCTCGTATGTATCGTTATTGCTGATTCCAAACCCGTGGGTTTTTATTTTCACTTTTTGTTTTGTAAGATATATTTTGATTTATTTTGGATATATATATTATGTGATAAATCAACTCAAAGGAAAAACAAATTTAAAGAAATATAGCGAATGTTCAGCCGGCGGATCATCGGAACGTATAACTGTTTACTGTGTAATGGTAAATCTTATGTAGTAACGCTCGCGAAAACCCTATGTACTGTATAAGTTAGACAATTTTCATTATAATAAAAAAGGAACATTCGTACACAATCACATACACACCGATCTGTAGTCACCTTTAACAATATAAGCGCACGCTTGCAATGTTGTAGCAGCGACATGTATATAGTGTATATAATCACATAAATCATTAAGCTAGATAAATCCTGCATTATCTTTCAATATTACGTAAGGAAGTTAAGTTTAGTAAGTGTACAGGCTGTCTTACTCGTGTGGCCAACGATTGTCGTATCGCTGTTTCTCTAGAGAGACAAAAACGATATATTTTACAGAATATTTCCGATGGTCTCTTTTTTTTCACTTGAAAACGTTCGTTCGGTTCCTCGTTTTTTTTTAACTAGCTATGTCGACGCGCCGTATCTTTCATTTCGTTTTGACATAAACTAACGAAATCGTACAATCGACTAATTATTACGTAATCGCTGCCGAATGTGATCGAACATCGCGGGCCACAATACTTTGAAAACAGATTTTAAAAAAATTACCAATGGTATATCAATGTTAAATGTAGACATATTGATAGAATTTGTTCGTTTTAGGATATTCTGATCAAAAAAATAAATATGAGAATAACGTTAAAGCATTCGTAATCCTACGACGTACAAGAGGAAAGAGAAAGATCCATTCTGGATCGTTTTGGCGAAAAAAAAATCAGATTTCTATATTGATGTCTTTCAAGAGTAATGAATTGTTCACGTTTTTCGAATGGTTCTTTCGTGATGATAAATTAGGTGTTTCTGCGCCAATTTGCGAGACCGCGGCTGATTAACAACAGCCTTCCAGTGGTATTCAACGAGTCAAGAAAAACGGAATTATCGCGAATGCAGATTTTCAGACACAAGACGACACAAAAATGCTACCACTGTTGTTATTTTTGTAAGACCGCGGCTGACTTCTGGCGACCGGAGCGATGCGACGACAAAATCACATCGCTTTCCAAAATGGTGCTATGCGGCGAGAAATTCTATTGTAAGTCTTTTTCGAAAATTTTAACGGGCGTTGTTGGGTACCAGTGGATCTCCGGCGCGATCGCCCGAAAGAACTATGATCTTAAGATAGATCTTCACGTCCAAGTCTGATAACCGTATACAAAAAAAAAGCTAAAAGGACTCCTACCGAGTTCTAGCGTATGTATAAAAGAAAAAAATCGAATATACGGGTTCGTTATAATTGCGATTCGGTGTGTTATATCGCGGGGTTCGTACAGCGGCGAGAAAGCGAACGCTGGCGAAACAGACAGCAAAGCGGATATTGTCGAATCTCTGCAAGAGGAAAAAGGCTTGTACGAGAATACGTGCCATAAAAAACTGATTAGATAGCGACTACGAAATCGAACAATGGCGACGGTCATTTGTATATGCTTTTGACGAGCCCCTTAACAGTTAGAGAAACTAAGAAGGTAGACGCGAATCGAAAAAATAAAGAGAAATAATAACAATGTGCAAAATTCCACGTGAAAAGTTTTATATAATTTTTCTTTTATATTTCTGTTACCGAAATTGTTTTATAAATCTAGAGTCCTTTTTTAGCGCGTGTGTGAGTGTACAGGGTAAACGTGCCGATGAATGAATGAAACATGGGAGAATATTAAAGAATGATTCAAAGAAAAATCTATGATTGTTTTCGTTTTTTGCGAGTTTTTCTTCATTTTGTATACTTAGAGCGATTTTAGTATAACTCTCGTTTTCTCACTTTAATAATAATTATTATTATTATGATATAAATATTTTTTATTATATGGGCATTTCAGTTCCTAAGTTGGAAATAAAATATCTACTATAAACGGGCTTTTTTCATTGTATAAACATTTACCAAGTGAAAGTGATTTTTATGTAGCATCAAAAAGCACGTTTATAGATTTTTTCCCTGAAGATTTACTGAAAGAAAGAGAGAGAGAAAAAGATGTTTATATACGGTAGGTACATATTTTCAGTTTGACAATATCTTTCTAAAATCTTTAAACTTTTTTCATTGTAGCATTCACTATTTTTCGCTAAAAGTAGTAAACAATCAAGAAAATAATAAATAATAATTTTTATCAATGATTACAATTGTTGAGAAAATGTGGAGAAATTTAGTGATATTATGTATATTGAAAAGTATATCAAATATTTGAGTAGTCTAAATAACCATCTATATAATAACAAGAATAATAATAATAATATCTTGTTAATACACCCTGTTACATTCAATTTTATTATGTATAAATTTAATTGTTAATGTGTGCTTTTATAATTATACACATATTTAAATAATAAGCAAGTAATAACAATTGCGTACGAGTTGCACTATTAATTAATGTGCATTGTACTTGCTATATCAATCATTTAAAAAAGATTTAAACTTATTATAATAATAAAATTAAATCAAAAATTCATGTATACACATGAATATATACATTAGAATTACATTGATTTCAAAATTTTTTAATCTTTAAATTTCAGTTTCTTAATTAAATGTTTATAATTTATAATTGTGTGCAATTTTTTTCTGCACTTAAATTTATATAATTCATATTTCAAAAATTTTGTAATTTTTTAAGATTTAAGAATAATACATTGCTTCTATAATTTGTGCGAAATTTGAAATTAACAAATTAAAATTTTTTAAGAAGGTAATTTTATATTCCGTTATTTAAATTATAAAAATGCAAATAATGATTATGCAAGAATGATTATTAAAACACCATCTTTAGTAATTATATGAAATAGATACACATAAATACAAATAAATGATGAAACAGCGAATAATATCAGTATTTTGTGCAATTACACAACATAATAAAAATTAATTTGACTCACCGATCGTTGTACTGTCGTATTAGTTACAGCAACTTGCACATTAGCTTTGTTGTATCTGCAGCCAGCAACTGTATCTAGAAAAATTAATATATATTTAAATTAATTAGGAATTATACATTATATTTAATTGTTATATATTATTTAATTATTTCAATTTTTATCGTAACATAATTATATGTGATTAGGTAAATAACTATTAAAAAATTTCAATAAACATTTTAACAAATATTTTAATAAATACTTTTAAACATTTTAATAAATATTTAATAAATATAAATCGTATATACATAAATATTGTATGTCCGTGTTATCATAAATTATGAACATGTTTAAATAATGAAGAAATAATTATACTCACCAATTAAAGTATTGTAGTTTGCTCTTTTTGCTGCAGATTCTGCTTTGTTGTTCAGTACTATCGAAGAATTGTTGAATATCGGAAACCCGCACTTATTAACGCGCACAACACTTAATAACGCGCACAACCAAACGAAAATCAACTCGCGCCTTCGAAAATCACGGATTAATATCGCAAATTCACCACAACGCGGTACACAAAATGAAATCGCGAGATAAAATTTCATGTCACAACGCGTTCTCACGTACACGATAGATTATAAACGTTATTCAACGGTTATTTAATACTATACATATGCTCACGGCTAGCGAGACAAACGACAATTATTTTGGTAATCAGGCGGAAATTGTGTTATAAATATGCACGCAATAATCGATTTAATTACAACGAGCTAAATTTTCTTACCTTGACGAAAAATTTGTTTCTCTTAAGAGACCGTTACGTTCAAATAACATATAAGCACAAAGTTGGCTCTAGAATCTGATTGGTTTAGCCTAAAACTATCCACAAATCAAAAGCAAGTATTGTTCATTAGGTACACAGTTAGATTGTTTTCTGAACACATTTCGCGGTATCAAAAATTTATACTCACTGATTGTAACCCGAATCTACGGCGCGGATGTCAATCGATTAAAAAAATTGATATTAATCGCGAACGTTCACGGTTATTAATATATTCCGACAATCCCGTTACCTTAATCATCACTCCCGATTGAAACTCGCATTTGTTGTATACTTCTAACACAAGTAAAACACTGATCGTAAAATATTCGCGCTCCGTATTCTAAGCGACGCCACGAAAAAGACTAACTGCGGCCGGTACGGTAGAATGCGTGATGATCACAAGAGTGACTCATGTACTACCCTATCTGCCGCAGTTAGTCTTTTTCGGCGCGTCGGTTTGGAACACGGAGTGTAAGTGTACAATTAATTGCGTATTTTGTTTTGTTAGAAATGCATAATGAGTGAGTTGTAGCAGAAGTGTTGACTAAAGCAACGAGCAGTTACCAGAATGTATTATTTGTCGTGGTTACTCGTTATCAATGGTGATTTCGTCGATCGATTGACGGCCGGGCTGTGGATACGGTCAATGAGTATGAGAATTTTTTTCATGCTATGAATGCGTTCAGAAAACAACCCATTCTACAGCCGATAAGTAATAATTACATATGATTGGTGTATAGATTGATGTATTGACCAATTAAAACCAATTGGAAAAGCCGTTGAATTTTAGAACAGATTTAGGAAATAGTTTCTTTTTGTACATCGGTTTGTAACGCGTAGCGCGGGAATATTTTCGCGCGAGAATATTTTTTGCGCGGGATTAATTATACGTATTTTATTTATATTAGAAGTATATAATGAGTGCGAGTTTTTCTCACGAATATCGATAAAAGCAACGGGGATTGTCGGAACATTATATTTATCGCAGATATTTACAATCAGCGGTGTTTCGCTGATTGTCTGACGACCAGGCAGTGAATTCAACGAGGTTAGGTTAGGTTATCTCATTGTCAGTAAATACAAACTTTCATGAACACACAATATATGTTTGTTTTCACTCAAGAAAACTAAAGCGTCTTGACTTTCTTTCAGATTGTCGACGAAAGATAGCCCAGTAGGCCACTGAATATGTAAACAGTTAAACGGCGATATAATACTACGTGCAGGCTATGGAACGTTATGTTCGGTTATGGAACAAATTTTATTCGGTTTTTAGAAGCTTCGATATTTTTTAATCCTTATGCAAATATGGACAACTATGCACTATATGCAGCCATGTACGACTATGTACAAATGATGAATCATGTTCCATTTCATCCATTATTTAATCATCATATGAGACATACAATGCATCCAAGTAACAACTACTTTCTTCATGGTGAGTACAATTGATTGTTTATTATTTAAATTTATACATAATTGTGTGTGATATACGCACACGATTATGATTACACATATCACACATTGGCAATTCGTATATCTATGTTACTGTTGTCTTAGATTTGTAGAAGTTAATTGTTAATTGTTACGTAAAAGATACAGTATTGTGGTTTTAATGTCATACAAAATAGAAATCCCAAAAGTGTCGGTAATCCGATTAGAAATTGAGATGCATACATAAAGTTTTACTCATGAGAAAGTACGCTGTTCCCACGAAATTATACGTCAACTTGCTACAATAGAGCAACCGCTTCTGGTTGGTCCAGTCGTCGGCGTCGGCGTCGGTATCAGCGCGCAACGCTATGAACTCGGTAAAACGACCGCAAAACGAAGAAGAAGGACGTCGAGCACCGCGGCGCGGAATGTATAGGCATGTGCCGCAAAATTTAAAATCTCTTTACGGCGGCTATAAACTGATAACCTGTTTAACCAGTCTCGTGATGGTGAACGCCGGACATTTTACCTTCGCAAAATCGTTCCTATTCTATTTTTTCATCGTTATCCCTTTCCTGTTTTTTTTCGCTCCGAGACAGGTCGACTTCTTTGTTTTACATATCGTGGTATCTCAGACTTATGCGTTCGCTAATCAGTTTTATTCCATTTGCAATGAAACAGCAGACATGTACGAAAACAAATTGCTTTATAGGCAATCATCAAACGGTTCTAAATTATAAAAGATCATTGCTGCAAACGATAGTTCATCATGAAGGTTCGAGCGACAGCACGATAATACTTATTATCCGGAAAACTTTTCACTTCAATCTCATACCTTACATTTGATCGATTTTAGTACATATCACATGTACTAGTACAGTAATTAGGAATTAAGCAACATTTTCTTTATAACATAGAATGAATAAGACAAACAAGTAAATTATCTCTCTTTAATTTACTGATTTTTGGCTTTACTTCTTATAACGATCAAAATATACGTCGGTATCTAAATATAAACAAATGTGTTGCGTATAATACTGACACACGCGTGCGCTCGTTCGCTCGCATGCCGAGCCGATGATTAAGATGGTGGGGCAAAATTGTGTTTACCTCTCTATCCCCCCGGTGACAATCGGCAAACACGTGGTCGTTGTAGTATTGTCGCGCATCGCCACATGCCAAACCGCCCCTATGTACACTGCGGGATCGCAGTTAGACTCGCATTCGCATACGGGAATTCGCTGGGCGAGCCGCGTGTCTGCATCGCGCGCGGTTAAGGTAAGAGCGCCGTCGTCGTCGAGGCGACGGCGAGTCTCGTGCAGGGAACGGTTTAATTTCTTCGTCGATACAGACCGAGCTTGCGCATCCAGCAAGCGAGCAAGCTGGGTCGCCGATCGTAGATGATGTCTCTTGGAAAATTTTTTTACGTAACCATGCTCGATCTGCCACGCGCAAATCGGCCGGTCGCGATTAATCTGACGCAATGACATGGGATCATATAATTATATGACGTAAATTTTTTATGGCACTTAAAAAGAATTGGGGAATTATGCGAGAGCGGTGTTCTCTGTCACTGTACATTTTTGCAGTTTGTGTGTTTTGTTATACTTGAGAAATTAATACAATGAACAGTAAATTCTTTAAAATTGTCAGAGAAAAATAAAATAATTTTAAAAGTAAAAAATGAAGAATACGCAAGAATAAATAGTTGTATTTTAAATGCAAATAGCAAAAATATTCTTAACTTTATTCTTTAATTGTAAGCTCAACACTAAAACTGCAAGGACGTAACAACGCGGTGTTGTACAAATTTAATCCAAAAAGATAGTAGCACTCACGGAGCAAAGTAGTGGGTCGGATAGAAGAATATTTTCACGATTTTTTTTATGTTAGGATCTCATGTAATATAAACAATATCTTTCTGGTAAGATTTGTATTAAAATTAGATGTTAAATCAAATATTTGATTGAAAGTATTCGAAGTATGCATGTATAGGATATTAAAATGAATTAATTCCTGCTAAACAAGAAAACAACGGTAGTTTGATTGCTGGAGAAAAAATAGAAAAATCAGCATGATTCGTTATCAATGAATCACGAAATTTAGGCAATCTCTTTAGGCAATCTTCTGCATTAGGCAATCAGCGGTCCCCTTTTCCAAGCCCTATACACATCTTCTCGAATAATATTAAGGTGCTTCCTGATCTGTAACTTTATTATCTATTGTAATTGTAATTGTTTGGTGACAATTTGAAGATCTGTGAGGACGAAAAATGAGTCCAACATATGATTATAGTATTGTAACGCATTATTATTTTTATGTTTCGCCGGTATGAATAATGATAATGTTATGTCATTATAAATTTGGCACGCACCTTTACCAACTTCGTCCACCTCAGTTTATGATGCCGCCTGAACAATGGCAAAACTTTTCTCTGAATGTTGTCGAAGCATGGAAGGTCGCAATCGAGCTAACTACTTCCTAGGTACTTTTGTCTTCAATGACTTCAAAAACCAAAATCGATGCGATCGTATTGAAGCTATTTTCAGAAAAGTATCAATGTATGAAATTAAGTTGAGTATAGAATTGCAGAACAACGAGTATAATTAAAATCATATCAACAGATATATAATTACATGAAAATTAGGTATGGGAATAAAAATAAAAAACAAAATGCCATTACAAAAATTTAAAAAATTTAATACAATTAGAAATGACAAAGGTACATTAGACTAATTAATTGAATAATTTATACGGAAGTCTCTTTGTCAATGCTTGTCACAAAGTACTGGAATAATAATCATTTCTGGTTCGCGTACGTTACCGAAGTGCAAGAGACTATCGATCGAGAGCGGCATCGAAAGATCCCGTGGACAGAGATGCGGCTTTCTTAACCGCACAAGCTGGTCCAGCGTGATGAGTGTGTCGCGTCTTTGCATTTCGTACGAAATTGGTGACTGCGCGCGAAGCCGAAGCGTCGTCTCTTCGCTCGCTTCTCATGAGCACTTCACCCGCCAGACAATAGTTTACCGTATCGACCTATTCCCCACTCCTCCTCCTCCTCCGCCCCGGCCCTGTCGTGCTTGTTCACATCTACCTCCTCGTGCCACTTCGCTCCAGCCAACCACGAACTTGCTTCTTCTGGTCTTCCCTTCGTGCCTTTCCGCGGATCCAACTTGCTTCTGTGTATCGTGAACTCCGAGGCTTCCGAGTTCAGTTAGGAAAGGCTGTGAGTTGCTTTCGAAAATTGGATAGTTTTCTGATTTTTGCGCGATAATTGCAGTAATGAATTTAGTGTGCAATATATAAAATGCGTAAATAATTATATATTAATACTAATTGCATTTTTTATTGCAATCTGTAATTGCAATTTAATTTTTTATTAAAAATATTTGACATTGAGGAAAGAATTTAATTATACAGTTTATATTGTTCTCAAATAATGACTGTAGCAAATTTAATTCAAAATATAAATAAATTCTATTCAATATTTTTAATTTTGTCAATATAATTTTTTATAATAATTCTTATACTTTTTACATTATCACGATTTGCATAGTTATTTTTTGTATGTTGAAATAATCTTGTTTGCTTCGAGAGTAGCTCACGTACTTTGCCACCGTGCGCGGCCGGCAGTTCCCGAAGGTCGAGATTTGTTCCAAAGTTTGTATGAATGAAACTTATCCTAATATCTCTGAACGGTGTGCGGCTTTCTTCGGCCATTCCGCTTGTAGAATAGCGACCATGAGAGGTGCGGAAAGCCGGCGAAAGAGCACGTGCGAGTTCAACGAGAGAGAGAGCCCTGGGGGTCGGCCGGCGCTGTCCGCGTCGCACCGCGCCGCGCCACGCCGGATCGCTCGTTCGAGCAGGGTCACTGGAACGTGCTTGTGTATGAACTGTCTGCAACTGTCATTCACCTCGCGGCACGCCACGTGTGCCGGCGAGGAGATATTTCTGCCCACGCCATCTCTTCCCCGTGTGCGAGGAAAATGACGAGGGAAGACGGGCGAAAGTCCGGAAAACTTCGGTGAAGAGATTTTCGTGCGGAGATTTTTATCGACGTCGCCGCGGACGTCCTAGAACCGCCGTCATCTCAGATCATATGTCGGATTTTACTCGGGTCTTTTCAGATATGTGAATCATTTAATGCGTGTGCCGATACAGTTTGTATCGAAGTACTTATAGCGTTTCGAGCAAAAATAAGCCGCGTATCGTCACATGTCGATTAAACTGCGATGTATTGAGGAACTTGTAGTATTGAGGAACAATTCGTAACGAGGAAAAGTATCACGCTAGGGACAACGGATGACACGTAGCCACATTTCCAATTTTACGTTTCCTATTTTTTTTCCGACGAAGGTAAAGACAAAGTTCGAGTTCAAACCGCAGATCGATAATGTTTATCGGAATTAGGTTCAAACTAGTTAACTCGGCTAAGGCTTAGTCTTTTGGGAAACAGCTTGTGTGAAAAAAAATGTATGAAATCATTCAAAAAATCATACAAATTATACGCATTACTTTCTCGAACTATCTGCTTACGCAACGAATCGAGTTAATGCGTATTATTTTCTATATAATGTTAAAATTATTCATTATAAGCGCTGACATCATACATCGCGTAAAAAGCAGAAGCATAAATCAATAAATAAATCTCGTAGTCGAGAATTTGTTGATGTGGTCGACGTGTCATATCGCTCGCCGACTGCGATTGCTTTATCGGAACATAATTGTCAAAGTACAAGGGGACACGGCTGACGCATCGACCATCACCCGGAGGCGACTTTCCTTCGTCTCCGAAGCGTATAAAAGGCGATCATGCTGACCTCAAATCGCGGGTTATCGAGCTCGCGCTTCCACGCGCGACGGCGTTTTGTCGACAGATACGCATCAGGATGCTGCCGCGTTGTGCACTGACAACTTAGTGCGTAAACATGATAGTAAGCGAATTACGCTAGTATTCCGAAATATATTTCCGAAATGACCTTAAATAATTTCCGACAACAA